CAAGGGTTCGAATCCCTTCGGTGCCGATGCATGAGCATGTGCATGTTAAGGGTGAAAGCGTCAGGGCGTGGAGGAAGGGATGCATTTGGGACTCGATCTAAATGTTTGATCCTCAGCCCTGTTAAACGTAAGCAGCATGACAGCATAACTCAAATGTTCCTTGTATGCACCACGTGCTCGCATTTACAATACCCCAAAATTCACCTTTCCTTTAGGTGAATGTAATATATGAACATAAAAACCGTCACCCTGGATGATGCATACGTATTTTTCACTGTGAATACATACATACATACACACAAACATACATATATATATATATGAATAAATATATATATATATATACATACATACATTACATACATACATACATACATACATACATACATACATTACATTACAGGACACGTACATACATACATACATACAGATCAGACTAGACAGAAGACAGACAGACAGGTACATATACATTACATACATACATTACATTACATTATATTACATTACATACATACATACATACATTACATTACATTACATTACGTTACATTACATTACATTACATTACATGCATACATACATACATACATACATACATACATTACATACATACATACATACATGCATACATACGTACATACATACATACATACATTACATACATTACATACATACATACATTACATTACATTACATTACATTACATTACATTACATACATACATACATACATAAATATAAACATATATACATACATACATACATACATACAGACATAAATATAAACATACTTACATACATACATACATTACATTACATTGCATTACATTACATTACATTACATTAAATTACATTACATTGCATTGCATTGCATGACATGACATGACATATATACATACATGCATGCATGCATACATACATACATAACATACATACACTACATTACATTACATTACATTACATTACATTACATTACATTACATACATACATACATACATATACATACATACAAATATAAATATATAAATATATACACACATATACATATACATATACATATACATATACAGAAACACACACACACATATATATACATATACGTATGCATATACATATACATATACATAGACATATACATACATACATATATATATATAAATACGTGTATCTAAAAAATATATATATATATAGGTATAGTAAAATGTTATATTTGGGTACATAGATAGGTTTGTCCAAACATGGGAAATATACATACGTGATATCCGAGGCCGGCAGCCAGGCCTGGACTCTTAATCCAGGGCAAGTCTGGGAGGAAGGAATGTAGCACTCCGGTGCGCGGTAGTAGTCTTTGCCTTCGCCGCAGGTAAGGCAGGTGTTTTTAGTTCAGATCTTGTTCATGTTGAGATATGTTGGGTCTTCAGTGTTTGTTGATGTGGAGTTTACCCAGTTTACCCCAAGAATTGCTGATCTTGCTTTCCAAGCCCATCTAAGCGGATGTTTTGGGCTGAATTATTGTACATACATTCCCATGTTCATCCACTCAAACACACACACACACATATATATATAAACCACATATAAAATCATAGACATGTTTCTTTAATCATAAAAAAACTGGAATCAACTAAATATCTAATATCTAGTGTCTAGAACATGACCCGTTCACCATCCTTTTACCATCCTTAGGTCCTTACAGATCTTACAGATCCTTACAGCCTTCACTGTGGTCGTCCCACTGAGACATCCCACCGCTGGTGCGGAAGTAGTGATACTCCGTTCCATCTGGTGCCCGGAGCCTCGGACACAATGCGGATGATGGATGGATGGAGAGGGTGAAGGGTTGTGTCTCAACAATTAAAGAAACATGTTTACTGTATAATAGCTATTTAAGTATTGAATAATACTATAACACATTATAATAAGTCATGATTAATACTGAATCTTGAATTTGATTCCTTCGAGCTATTTGATCTAATTGATCTACGTATAGTTATATCGTACTATGTTTATCCATCCATCCGTTGGAAGTATGGACTGTAAATGGTATAGTGTAGTATGGACCAATGATCTTTTGCTTGGGGGTTATCATTGGTTATCATGTTTCTTGAAGTTTCTTGTAGCTTTCCTGACCAGATTCCAATGATCCAAATGATGAGTTGCCCATGTTTTCCCAATAATCGCCAACCAAGTTTGGGCCCAGCATCGCCTCAAAGTCCCCCCTAAGCCAACTGAGCCGCCCCGCAGTACAGCCTGGCCGAAGTCCATGAGTCGCACCTCCCCGTTCCTGGCAGAGATGGGAAACAACACCACAATTTAGTGTGGTAAAATCATCGATAAACAGGAATGATGACCAGAAAGGACATTTTCATCATTTCATTACAGTATCTTTACACGTTTCATTCAACAATGCATCCAAAACCGTCACGAATCTCAAGACATCCTTCAAGCAAAAATCGTCAATCTACCCCACTTTCGGCTAATCAATTCTCTGGGTAAGAACAATACGTCTTTAATTCGGTGTTATTCTTCAGTTGCATGTGGACTATCCCTTTTAGATATGGATTATACACCGGTCAAAATATGGTTATATATATATATATATACGTATATTGGTGTTGCATCTCAATGTCTAATTGCAAGCAGCTGTTGCGCTTCCGAGGGCGCAATCAAAGCATGCTCGCTTAAGCGTGGCGCATCTTGCGCCATCAGGAGCATGGCTCAAGTGGAACAACCATGCTGAGAGCTGAGGTTGGCCGTCAGGGTCGGCTTGACGTAGTTCCAGGTATTTGCTTTTCAGCCATAATTTGGAAGCTGCGACAGCAGCCGTCAAGTGGTTGGACCAACGCAGCGCCTGTGCGGGTGTGCGGCGTGCGCGCCCTTCCACTGTCCCTTTGCAACTACGCATCCTCGAGGGCATTTTGGGCTGTAGGGAATATTGGTCACAGCACATTCTTGCCGCTGCTCTCATGCTTCTGTTTCAAATATGCTGAAGTCAGCTACAACACCGTCACCTGCCATTGGCACAGGGCAAGGTGGGAGAGGAACCTAGACCCAACCGCACGGGATTAAACCTTGATGAGGGAAGGGTTTAGGGCCCCAAAACAGAGCCTAGAATCTGCTTCTTCCGGCCTCTGTTTCTGTCCCGCACAAGGGTCCCAAAAATGGGGCCACAAAACCGCCCACTTGCCCAGCCCTGGTGCGCAAAGTGTCCAGGGCTAACAGATCCGCATCTTGTAGCTTACCTCTGCGCAGCCGCTATCGCCGCCGCCACCAGGCAACCCATTTATTGGTTGACCTTCCGACCCATACTCGCAGAGGCACTGTCGCGTTCTCAAATTGGTGGAAACCGGCAGCGTCGTTTGTTCTCAGCCAGCGCTCCCTTTAGTTGCTGCAGCTCCATGCATGCGAGAAAGGCTAGGGAGCGAAAAGAGATGAAAGAGCCTGGCATGCACATATGTGTGATCTCGAGTTGAGCGGCCTGGCTGCCATATGAAAACAAATGGTGTTGCACTGCTTTTCATGTAGGTCTTTGTCTGCAGGAACGGTGACTGCAAACGAAGTACAACCCCATGCTCCCTGTTTCTTGCTAGGAACCCCTTGCACTGCCTGCGTGTCCTAGCCTGGCTGCGGCGTGTGCAGTGATTGCACCCCCTTACAGCTACCCAACACCACCATGGGCTATGAGATTGGCATGGATGAAGGACATGACTGCCAAGTGCAATTGCACATCCTTCACACATACAAAGAGGTACAGTTGCGGTACGCTCTGGTTAACCCTGAGCACAAACATGTATTTCCATTACAAGGGCCCATGTTTGTGAAGCCTGTTTCCTGCCAAAAAACAGCCTCTTTTTTGGAACTGCTTGATTGCGCTTTTGCTGCGGCTCGACAAGCACCTATGGTGGCCATGAATGGGAGGCGGATGTTAGATGTCATGGCGGGGTACTTGAATCGACGAATGTTTGGGTATGTTTTTGTTGTGGGGTACAACTCTAGGAGCTACTTGAAAAAATCCTCATCGAGCTTCTCGGTGCAAGTGACAACAAACACCGGTTCAAGCCCATGCGCTCCCATTTGCATGCTGGGCTGGGTCTTGCCTGCTCTGTTGCCAGCCTGAGTTAGCCCTCAATCGCCACCTACCAGGAATTATTTCATGATAGGCTTTCAGAGTGGAAGCGAAAAGGAGATGAGCTATCCACATAATAGGTGCTAGGACATAGCAACAATGGTTGCACATACTTGCGCTTCTAGTCATGCCAGGCGGATTACCGGAAAACCCACCAGGAACGGGGGAGGAAGCTTATGTCACTTGCCCCCTAGGGGGAACATGGAGGGCAGGAGCAGCCAGGAACACGAGGATGCGAAAACTGAACCAGGATTACAGGGTTTCTGAGAAACGTCGGTGGGAGATAGAATAATATTCTCCAAAAGCAAACTTTCAGGAACGCTGCCATTGTGGTAAAAACGTGATTTTGGACACAGGAGTGTTTCCCATTGTGGTAAAACTGGGATTCTGTGACATAATCCGCAGGGAATGGCCCGAAAACCCCTCTGGCAGTGCTACTCGTAGTCTCCAGTCCTACTAAACAGACTCGGACATGTTGGCTGCTAGTTGTGTGTTGGCACAGTACCTCTGAGAGCCAAACCTTTTTCCAGCAGTATGCGTGCAACAACGGACATCACCCGGCACTGGTTCCGGTGACCCGAAAAGTCTGCATTTCTTGCTCACAATTGTGGCCCCCCATGGTATATGTATATATATATGGTTCTATATGGTTCTATATTATATATGGGTATAAATAATTATAAATGGTTATACAAATATGCTGGGTAAATCTGGCTAAAATATAATAATTCACAAACCTCAAAAAAGGCTATTTTGTGATATTTACCCTTATTGCCCATCATTTCCAGTGAGGTCGTAGTGAGGTCGCGCTAATTTACCCATATATATATATATACACATACATATATACATAATTATACATATACACGTACATATACATATACATACAATATATATATATACATATACATACAATATATATATATATATATTTAGACATATATATATACACATACATACATATTTATAAACCAGCGAGCCAAATGATTATTGACACCGATACGGAGGTTTCATAAGTCATGTGGGTACCCCAATGTCTGGATTGTTTATTGAAAGTTTCTTTCATGGAAAATCCCCAAAAATGGATGATTTAGGGGTACCCCCATGACTTAAGAAACCTCCATTTTGACACAGCTACAGATGGCTACAGCTCAGCCTCAGAAGCAAATTCTCCAAGGAAATGTCGCGGTGGCCTCAGCCACGGACGCTGGGTGTCCCAATGGATCTATCCGATAGCAGTGCTGGGTCTCCGTGCCCACATTGTGGGAGTGCAAAAAGTGAACAGCTCTGAGTATCTGCCACACCTGACACACGTTGACTGATAGCAACGATATTTTAGATGAGATGACCCTTACTGTCGGATTGATGCGGAATCGGAACCGAAAGACATTTCTGATCTTTGTGAATGTCTCTTTGCTCCCCAACACTATCGGGAGGGAATAACCTTTCTGGTAATTTGGACAATGAGTTTTGTTTTCGAAACAAAGAGAAGGAAGGTCAACAAAATCCGTTTGCTAAGTTGTCAAATCACTCATTCCCAAGGCCCGAAGAGGACAAGGACCGGGATACAATTAAACAATAGGCACTCTTAGACTAGAGCTTCATCAGCTCCATGATTGCTTCGAGGATTGCTGACTAAATCATTTCAACCAGAAACTATGATCTTTACTTTGAAACCTTCCCATCCCATCCCAATTTTGTGCGAGAAAAGATGACGACACTATCTGGAAGTATTTCTCACAGCTGAAGCAAAAGGATTGTTATATAACAGCATGGGGTCCCGACGTAGCGCTTGATCTGCTGCTGGTCTAAAAGGCCGGCGTCTCGCTGATGCTCTACCCCTGAGTGACCGGGAAAATGTACTTTATCTGGACATATCTGGATACAAATGATGAAAATGGCAAAAACTGGAAACCCACCATGAATAAATACAGTGCATGTACATAGGACTATACATGTAGGACATTCATCATTGGGGGGTATTTCCATTGCCGCGTTTGATAACGCCCAGAGGTTATGGGCCGTTGACTATTCTTCCATGACATGGCAGCCCTCATCTATGGCGGCCCTATGGTTGGCGAAAAAAGACAAAACATATCCGACATATCCATCCACTTAAGCACTGGTTACATTCCCCACTACATCAGGAGGAAACGTTTTTTCTCGTTTGGGGCCCTTAGGTGCGGATCACCTATCTGCATTTTGCGTGGCCTGTGTGGCGGATCGTATTTCAAGTCGGAATAAACTAAATTCTGTTTAAAGCAAAACAGCTGATCCGCGATCCACCAGTGTGATTCATATGAAACCTGTCAGGAGTCTCTAAGAGGAGAGGGTTGCAGCAGCTAGTCAAGAGGAACAACTGTTGTTCTGCTTTTGTATTCATGGCTTAAATCCCTATCGTTGATGTGACATCATTACGTGGCTTGGATAAATCATGGTTACATCCCAACCCAACATGGGTCCTTACTGTCTTCACCACCCTTGACCCTACACTTGGAGCCCATGCAGTCGAAGAGATCGCCCTCACAGTTTTCAAGGACCAGCCAAGTCCTGAATCGGCATGAATCGGCTGCATCCCAAGCTGAGGCTCCTATGATTGTTTGAAGCGAAAAAATGCAGGATGAAGGAACATGTTGTCGTATAAGAGCAACCACTTATATACATATTTGTAGTTCAATAATGTTAGATATGTCATGAAAGGTATTCTTGCGATAGAGAGCAGTACAAGCCCTGCACATCAGGTCGAGAAGAATACAGTACTACAGTAGCTATCCGTTATCAAACTTGTAACAAATATTAGCAAAGACACACTATTATATTCATAAGTTGATGCGTTTAGAAATATGTTCATATTGTGCCCTCTATTCTTGCATAGTAAACACAATCGTTCGATAATCATTATATAATTCATTTACCTATAATATATATCTTCACATAAAGTTACAACGTATTCCTTTCCACGTCTATCCATCTCAAGCAACTAGTTCAACGTAAGTGGAGGTAGCCTGTGGCAAATGTAATCAAACAGGAAATGTTGCGAAGGATATGTCTGCATACAACATCATATACAACCATGGCAAAGAGCGAACCTACAACGTAGCATTTCTGTAGGGTTTGCCCGGAAACAAATCATGCATATGCAGCATGCATGTATGATGTGGGATGCTTTGATACAACAAAACAATTCAGGTCCGACATCTCAATAGGATCGTTGAACATGCCCTGGGCAGAGCCTGGTCTCATTGATGAAGCTGCCGTGCCTGGGCGGCCGACAGGGGCACGCTTGATTGGAAACTGGGTTCATTTTGGAATTTTCTTGAACCAGTTTGGTTTGGGGACATTTCTGCCTTTGAAACTCTTGAAAATTCAATTTTTGTCGTTTGCCTGAGAAAAGGGTGTGCCATGGTGTGCCCCTAAGATCCGTGCGTAGCGTTTCGTTTTATCATCCTTGTCCCAAAACTGAAATACAACGGTACTCCCCATTTTCAGCAGCCATAACCCAGACTTCTGAGGCCAAGACATTTGTAGCACCTAGGAAACTGTAATCGAAACAAACCGTACACAACATTTATGGCAATTTAATCCGAAAAAATGATTAACAAACTGTAAGCAACAGATTTTAGGCTGCCCTTGACGCTGAGATCGCTGAGTCTTGAACATACGGGCATCGTCCCTCTTGTTGCTCGAGGAAGTTGTAGACGCCAATCTCGTTCATGGCATCCTGAATTCTCAGTAATTCTACTTCATGTTATGTAGATATACACATGGCATATTATATACAGCATCAATCCCAAACATGATTCTTGGCCATTCGAGGCCATCAAAAAAAATGATGGGATCCTGAATGTCAAACATTATCGCCAGATTTGGCCAGGAGGCTGCTATAATATTTTTTTCCGCAGCTTGCAGCCTATGTCAATCTGATTTGTTTTTTCCCGAATGCGTAGCAAGGGTTCCCGGTTCAATCTGAGGTCTGGGGGTTGTGTTCGCTAGGCGTTGCGCAACCGTTCGCAACCGTTCGCAGCCGTTCGCAACCGTTCGCAACCGTCCGCGCGAGGCCCGTATGGCCGTGGCTATGGCGAGTTTTGCAAAAGGTGTCTTGGAGGTTTTAAACGTCGCATAGCCCCGTTTCGCGTGGCAAGCGTGGCACTTTGTGACATTCAGACATCTTTCATAACGTGTCAAAAGTCGTTTTGCGTGGCAGGCGCAATAATTTTGCGATGTTATCAGACGACGAGTTGCATTTTTGGTGGCAGGCGCAGCACTTTGGAGACCTCCATCGTCATTTCGCGTGGCAAGCACAGCACTTTAAACGTGTCGTGTGGCTCGTTTTCTGCGAATCGCATTGTTGTGGCAGGCATGGCAATTTGTGAGATGTAAATTGACGGAATCCTCGCACGAAATTGAGGTTCTCGTAGGGAAACACCGATTTTGAAGCTACAACGTGTGAAAATTGGAGGAAGTCTCGCACGAAATGCTCGTTTTGCTGCGCCCACTTGTCTCGTCTCGAGTCTCTGGTTTTCAATTGGCGTCACCGTATCTATGGGAGAAGCTGCAAAACCTCTCATTTTCAAAGGTTTCCAAATGTTTCCAAACAGGTTGTACTGTCGTTTTGCGTGGCAGGCGTGGCACTTCGTGATAGTTTCACGTGTTTGAGAAAGTGTCGAAAGACGTTTTGTGTGGCAAACGCAGCACTTTGGAGACCTCCATCGTCATTTTGCGTGGCAGTCGCAGCACTTTAGACGTGTCGTGTTGCGTGTTCTTTGCGAATCGCATTGTCAGGGCTGCGTCAAGTGTGGTGACAGCGTGCAAATCGGGTGGCAGATGTGGAATGTTGTGACATGCGATGACACTCCACACTCCACACTTTACACTCCACACTCCGTACTTTACACTCCACACTCCACACTCTACACTTTACACTCCACACTTCACGCTCTAGACTTTACACTCCACACTTTACACTCCACACTTCACACTTTTCACTCCAAGCATCACACTTTACACTCCACACTCCACACTCCACACTTTACACTCCACACTCCACACCTTACACTTTACACTCTACACTCTACACTTTACACTCCACACTTTACACTTTACACTCCTCAGTCTACACTTCACACTCTCCACCCAACACCTTACGCTTTACACTCCACACTCTACACTCCACACTCTACACACTACATATACTACATTCCCCACTCAACACTCTACTTTCTTCACACCCCACACTTTGCACTCCACCCTCTTCCACATTCCACAGTCTACAGTGCACTGGTACGGTAGCAGGGGAACAATGTACAAGACTGTTCAAATTGTTGCACAGAAGTTTTCTACGTGATTGCATTCGGTTTCATGGTGCATCTTGTTTTTTCAATTGGCCACTTGTTTGTGTTTTGAGACCCGTTTTGGACAACCCATGACAAACCATGATAAACCCATGCTTGATGTATATTCCGTCGTAGTTGTCGTCAAATGCTTTTGAGCAAATCAATTTGATCCCAATTTTTTTTTACATCAGCAATTGGATGTTTACAATCATCCCAACATTTACCATTACACATCCCATTAGTAAATCATCAAACACAACGGCGAAACGTGGACGATTCACGTCGCTGTCCTCAGGCGAAACCATCCCATCTGCCCAGGCGATCCGATCATTCGCCGGCAACCTCAGGTGGTGGCTGTCACGTGGCAAAAATGGATAAACTTGGGGGATTGACACAGCCAAAATGGTGATTTTACATGGTTTAACCATGTTTAACCATGAAAAATAGGGATTGATCTCATGAAATCTCATGAACAATTTGACAATAGATTTAGAGTAGTTCAACCTTCAGGTATATAATCCCAAAATGGACATTTCAGCAGGGAAAATCATGATATAATATAAATATAAGCCATTGAATTTAGGGATATGACCCAAATCACAATGAGACCGCCCAGGAGTTCGAAAATGAATTCAGTGCCAATAAGACCCTTTCTACAGTGGTTCTTAGGGACATAGCCAGGGTAAAAGATCCAAGATGATTACAGTAAGATCCTCAGCCGATGTCTGCCATGGAACCTCCTGCACTCATCCACTGCTCTGGTGTCCATGTTCTTCACCACTCTCAGCACCTGTAGGGTGATCACATTCACCGTTGCAGTTTTTTGGAATAGAAAAATAGATCAATATAATGTACATATAGTAATCGTGTTATATTTGCATGCTTATGTTTAAATATGTTTAGTTGATGTACTTCAATCTCAACAAGTTACTTTCGCAGCAACCTGATTCCAAATTGAGCTACTCTCCATGTTGGCACTGAGCATCACTTGCCTCCTCCGTCTGCCCGACAGGGGTCCACAAGTACTTTTCCACCTTCCCGAACAAACACGTCCTGAGAGTCTCCACGAAAGTTGGGATGCAATCATGCTCCCATCTGGATGGATATGGGGATTTTATGTGTATATATATATACACAGTATATATATAATAGATATAGTATATATATATGACGGTTTGTCAAAATGTTTGTTCCCGGTTTTGTTGATAAATCGCAATTCCATGCGTGCCGCCTCATGTTTGCCTTTAAAAAACATGACCTACCTTGATGACGTTAAAACGTGGAAATTCTTCGTTGCCTTTGGAAATCTTTCTAAAACCACAGGAATCGGCTAACGCACGTCGGTTTTCATTCGCTGTCGCTGGTACTATCTCCTGAACTGTGTGTCTCTGTGTGTGTGCCTCTCTGAATGCAATATGTTTCTTGACATGCCTCCTGATCAACGCTGTTTCCTTACTGTAAGCTACCAAAGCGTGAACATGGTTGTGCCTCTGAATGGGCTGTGGGTGGACCGGGGCATGTATTTGCAATTTTCGCTAGCGCGTTGCTAGCGGGGATCTAGCGCGTAAAATACGAAAAAAAATCGAAAATTTGGGAATATGTGGAAACTGACAGACTTGTAAGAAAGCTGGCAAGACATTCACGACATGGAGGCCATGGCTGTCAATCAAACCTAGCGCAAACCTAGCGGGTTTGCTAGCGCTGCCTTGCAGAATTGCTGAATTTAGTTGCGTGCCGCCTCATAACGAAGAGGAAAAAACAGTAGATCAAGATGAATTATCAACAACCAATACTAAACTTCTAAACAACTATTTTTGACAAATGGTCATATATATATAGAGATAGTATACATCTCAGACCTCAACTAATCCCCATGATGCCATTCATGTTCCATCCCCATTTCGCCTGTCGAAACTTTTCCGCAACAAAACTTCCAACCGTCTTAGGACAGCACTTCTTCCATCGCCTAACCTTGGTGAACTCACCTGCCTTGGCGGAACGAAGGGTTGTGCCAGTTGCGTCTTCACATCTCTTCACATCTCTTCACATCTCTTCACATCTCTTCACATCTCTTCACATCTCTTCACGTCTCTTCACTCTTTCATTAGTCTATTGATGTCTATTGACCTCTGTTCTACCAAACCCTATTTCAGAAAAATATTGAGCTTGGCAGCTGGTAGAGTGGCAAAGTTTGCAAATTGGTGGAAGTGGTGCAGGTTGGTGTCCAGACCATTCACCTCGGAGCTGCTGCATCTCATCCGCATCACCGGCATGGATCGATGGCGCACAGTGATCCAAGGTGGGGACATTGGGAGCTGCAGCCTGGTCACCTGGCCATTGCGCTGGTCTTGGGGAAACATATTGTAACCATGGCGGAATGTTGGCACTGAACCACTTGGGACAACAGACATGTTTAGAACATGTTTAGAACATTAGAAATCTGATTTTAGAAAGTGTACTAGTACTAAATTACTGAATAGTCGAAAAAACAATGAGGGCGAGATCTTTATAAGGCGAAGGTATCTTCTTTGCTTTTGCTGTTTGACGCAGTTGCTGCACCAATCACAAAGGTCGCACCAAAGTCAGCCAACATCCACAAGCCCCCTGCGCCCAAACATTTCCTGAAATTCCCAGTTCTCTTGACACTATCATGCTCCAAAACCTTTGAGCGGCATATCATAATATCAATTAATTAATATATTAAAGTTATGTAACATGGAGTGCAGCAACCCCAGCAACCCCAACAACCCCCAAAAAGATAGAATGATAAAGATAAAATCATAGATAAAATCCTACTGAAATAATATTTTTCATAGGTCAATATTGTTTTTCTATCTGTTGGGGTTTCCAATGATTCCAATGTAATCTCCGCCCAGCTGGACGCCTCGTGCACCTCTGGAGCCACTGGACGAGGACCTACAGCGCCACACGGCTTCATCGTCATTTTCTCCATAGAAAAATCAAAAAACTGTTTGGTTAATGGGGGCTTCCCAGCTCATTGGATATATCGGATATATGATGATAAGCCGGAACCTAAAATCTTAATATATATATTATATATATATGTATACATATATACACACACAGAATCTCTCTCTCTATCTATATATATAGTTATATATATATATTATGTATCTTAATATCGCCTAATGTATTCGGTGGTATAAACCTGCTACAATCACAAACGCTGCTTCAGGAAGGCCCGGCAAACTCAGCTCTGCACGAGCCCCCGGTTTCCGTGGCTCCTCTCCATGTCACATGGATGTGGCAATGAAAAGCCGGGAAAATGACAGAATATCTGTGTTTTTTTCATATCTAAATTTAAAAGAAAGCTGGAAGTTGCTTCTACTAAGCTACTAATTGGAGGTTCATTTTCCAAAATCAGATCTTATGTTAGGTCCTTAGGTCTTAGTAGGTTTTGAATGGTTTTGATCCATCTCGAAATAATGGATCTCAAGACCTGGGCAAGGTTTCTCGTGGCCTGTCTGTTCAGGGGCTTCTGGTGAAGGAGCGGAATCACCTGTCACGGTGCTTCGGTGCTTTTTTTCAATTGCCCTGACCACGTAACCAGAAGAACTTGTGCAACTTGTGCCATCAAGATCCATCAAGCAGAGCTTGAGAGGTACTGCAAAACAACAGTAAATCCAGTAAATCCAGTAAATCCACATTGAATCTGTTGCATCTTGACCATCTTGAGCTCAACATGTGGAGCCCTCGTCCAACATGGAAATCCCATGTTGAAGTCCCACGGGTTTCCCACCTCCTGGTGAGGAGGACCTGAAGGAAGCAAAATCGTTGCGTCCCCTGATCCCGGTGAAAAAACATGTGAAAAAATACCAGAAATTAAGAAGATATAGTTGATATACTCCTATAATGTCCTATAGATATTCCTGCACTGTAGATATTTAGACATTCCATAGATGTTCCATTGATATCCATTTAGATTCCTGTTGGATACTGCTGTCGATCTTCCTGGAAGGCCTGCTTCCGAGTGTGTTGAACGCCAATAGATGGGAATGGGAATCACAGGTGTCCCAAGAATCGATAAAAAAGTGACATTGCCCCATTGAGTCCCTCGTGGCAAGCCCCAAAAATCCCCAAAACACAAAACATGAATTTCTTGAGGCATATAGCATAATTATAGCATCATATAGCCCGACTTGAATTATCATCCACCAGAAATACTCGACCCTTTCAGGCTCTGGCTGAGCTCCGTTCCTCATAGCTTCTGCGCCACGCTGAACTGAGACAGGTTGGAGATTGCGGCACAAGATCTGCTTTTGACTGTCTTGATCAGGGCCCACCCTTTTGACGCATTTTGAAACACATCATAGCCGTTTTTGTTTTTGGAAACAAATCCCTGGGTATCCCTGGGTCTCTCAATCATCTTAATCAGGATATATCCTTAATCCATCTTAATCCGGTGTTGACATGATTGACAGTTTCCACATGTTTCCACATCTTTCTATCAGAAAACTCTGGAAGAACTGGTGCAAAGCAGCGTTTGCTCCACGGCCTTCACAATCTTCGCCGCAAATGTTGGACCTGCGTCGCAAGAGGAGCTGCCAAAGCTGCCAATCTCCACGGGGATGGAATCTCAGCAATTTCTGGTCATTGGGGATGCTCTGTGATCTGTTATGAATATTTTAATGTTATACATGGATATACATGTTTACAGGATTTTATAGGATTATTGTAAGGTCAAACTATGTCAAACCCTATTGTTGATCTTTGTTGCAGGCTTGTATTTGATCGTATTTCTATTTTTTCTTATTGGATTTAACACATTCTTGGTGTTTCTTGTCAATGCCCATGGAATTGAATCAATCTCACGATCTTTCCACATGCCTGGCTTCTCCTCCCTCCTGGGTGCGGGGTATCGGTCGTGCCATGATGTGGACCCACATCATGGCCACGTATCAATTCATCAGCTGGGTGAAAACATGTGAAGACCAGGGTACCTGGGTTGTCCTGGGTTTCGATACATCTGGACATATCTGGACTTTGGAATGATTTAGGAACATTGTCAAGGAAACATGTAAAATCAAATCAGCAATCTGATGGGTTTCAAGCATTTTACATCATTTTTCCCCATCAAATCTGGAACTGCATTGTTTCCCAGAATTCGATAAACATGACAAATGGAATGAATTGAACAGGGAAATTTCCGCAGAAAAACACCCATCGTTACGTGTCAACGTTCTTCAACCCAAGGATTGTTGGCATCGTAGAAACACCTCTCCTCTTGGGCGTATCCCTGCATCGCGCCTGAGAAAAAGGGCACCATTGGAGCATGGCTTCGTCGCAAAGTGAGCAACATCATTCTATATCATTCTATATCCCATGCGCCAAAAAAAATAGGTGTTCCTCAAAATTGGGCTACCCCCAAAAGAAAACAAAACTAGAACTTTCCAAATGCGAAAAAAACCAACTTGGGATTTTGGGGTCCTCCCTTTAGACATCGAAGAGTTGTCATACACCCTTTCTAACCGTGCCATACAGTGCCCAGCCCTGAGAGCATGACGCTGGCACAGATTTTCAGGCGCCTGGGGATGTGCTATAGCTGTTATGATGATGGTGGATGGGGGGGGTACATGACAACCCATCCCATGGTTCAGTATGAGTTTTTTCCATCTTTTCCAAAGGTTTCAATATAGCATTTTGTTGGGAGTATTCCAATTTTGAGACATGCTACTCCCATAATTCTCTCATGACTTTCCCATTTGTTCCTGGTAAAAATCCCCGATCCATCCAGTCAGTGGTTACATCAGTACTTATGATGGATGGATGCCCAATTTTGGCCAGTTACAACAGTTACAATCAATCCCCCCAAAATGGGCTAAAATCATCTAAAATCAGCCATGTTCTCATCTTGCTGGGCAGGGGTCATCTTTCCATCACCGCGCACCTCGTCTCTCTGAGTGCCCTGGCCCATGCCTACGTCAAGTGACGTGCCCAGGTCTGGATCGGATGAAAGAATGGGGGATACAAATTTTGAGTGACACTATCATTGTTTTATTATCATGATACAGATCATTATCGCTGAGTCTTTTTTTAATTATCTGAGCTAGAAAAAACATATTTCATGATTCAGTATTGTCATTAGTTCAAAGGCAAGCAACATCATGAGACATCTAAAATAAAAACAACACCATATGATGGACAAAATATAGACAAATATACAGTATACAACTGATCATTAAATGACAAGTAAAATCCATCGCATCACCCATTCAGGGCCTTGGCGACCCTGCGGCAAGGGAAGGGCCAAAAGCACATGCCATGCGATGTGCTTCAAACTTCGGTCCCTTGAATGACTGTTTCATGAGTGGTTGGTTATCTAAGCTGATCAACCCAGCCCTCAACTCACAAAGCCTTCTGGTTCATTGTTGGAACGCGGTTTTTCAAGCACAAGACCAAGCATTTTTTTCTGCGGAGCATTGGCCACTGTTTTGAGATACAGAGTCGTGACCCACATGCCCAGCCAATTGTGGATTCACACCCTGGCTTGGGCTGAAATCACTTCAAGGCCGTTCGTCCAAGTGGATGTTTGTGATCTAAATGTGAGTGAAACGTCTCCTGTAAGCCATGCCGGCGGCAGGACAAGAATAACCTTGGCACACTGCAGGGACTCTGGGAGTGATTCTGTTCCACGACACACTCACAACTGCAAAATGGATATATGTCCAACATCTTCAAACTGCCAGATCATGCACCCAAACTACAGTAAATGTAGTGCGCACACACATTTATATATATATATATCAGACAGACTACCGGCATGATCATAGCAACCAGGACATATCCCAACCAACATTCATTACCATCAAGCACAGTTACGTGGCTAGTCTTCGACACATGATTTTTGACTGGGTATCATCTTTTCCCCACTTAGTGCACAAGATTGAAGTGCGAAACTAACCAACCGGCATCCAAGATCTTCATATCACGTGCGACTCCGCCTTTTTGCTGACATGACATGACAATTACCCCATCCATTTGTATAAATTTCCGTTTTTCTATCTGCGCAGATTATAGTAATATAATATTATATAATCATCCTGAAGTACCTCTTGTAGGGGAAATGATCCCAAAATCCACGACGAAATCAACGGGAAAACGAGAGAAATTCTAAGATGGTTCCCATGATTCCAATCTTTGTCAGTCTGAAAAAAGGTGGGTCACGAGGATTCCAAGTGAGTGATCATCTCCAATAGATTAATATTATACATAATAATATAGATTATAGATGGTTGATGATTATAGAAGGTTAATATTAGATCAATAGGATTCTACAACCTTCTATAATCATCAACCAATAATCATCTATCATTGACATTTGAAGATTTTTAGGATTTTTTAGGCGTGAAACACACGTCACACGAAGTGACACGATGCGTCCCCTGGCGCCTCACGGGGAGCCTTGGCGGCCAAGGCTTCCACCACGGCCACAGGATCCACCACCGACTCCACCTGACGAACAATTTGTGGGGCAATGGACCCATGGAGGATATCACTTAAAATTGCCACTAAAGAACATTGGGGAAGGGTTAATGTTGAATCATCTGATCATCAAATTTGGGGATACACAATGATACACACCTTTCAAAAACAAAATCCATATGACATAATGTCCTGCAGTACATTCCAATCATTAAGTGTCCCCAAACCCGTCTCAGCAGCCGTACTCGGACAACGTTCCGAAGCACCTGACATGAATCAACAAGTCATAGAAATAGCGCTGACATTGATCAGGCAGGGCCAGAATACCGCATATTTATATAATCTTTGTGTGCAGCCCTGAGGTATTGCAAATATCCATGATCCATAGATATCCACATGAACATTATTCCAAATGACCAAATGAATACTGTAATATACTGTAATTGAATCAGCAAATTATTCGGTGAACAAATGGTAGGACCCAGCTACTCATTTTCACCAAGGTTTACCGAGTCCATCCCAGTCCTCTCCACTTGGCTTCCCCGCCACAGAAGGATCATTGGAGCTTCCCTCAAAGACCACCCCTGGCGAATCGATCAACGTCACCTGAAACGGCGCTGGCGCTGATGGCTTCGGGAACTTGGAAGCATGGTGAGAACACATACATTGTGGTACACCGGATGAAAAAACAAGTCTCAATTCTTAATGGCATATGAAACATGGTATGATTGGGTATGGTTTCTCATATGTTTCCCATGTCTTCTATCAATCAGACAAGCTTGATCAACCTTTGAGACAACCCCCAGCTGATCACCGCAATCCACCCCTGCGCCTTGGAGTCCAGTTGAACCTCAAAAAAAATGGCCACAGAGTCGAAAGATGTAGAAGTTAATGTGGGTAAAACAATGCCATTTTTACCAGCCATTTGGGAATGGTAAACATAGCACCAATCAAAAAATGGTGATGACTGGGGTTTATCATTGTTTTACCCACATTATACAGATTTATACAGTGTACAGTAACTCAAAACTAGCCATGTCTAATTAGTCAGTTTCATGTAGTGCTTCTAGCTCCACTCCTATTGTAACATCCCGTCAATTTTTCAGATGCGATCGTTGTTACAGATATTCTCCTTGGCAGATTGATATGAAACCACCAACTAGAATTCTGTTGGAATTAACATCCCCATCTGGTGGTATTTCACCAGCTCCCTCTTCTGCTGTGTCAATGAATACTCCCTATCAACCACTGTCAAACTGTGCTTTCTTGGTTAAAATTTCGCTGTCATCAAATATCCACAATCCACGTTCTCTATATGTTTTTCCATTTTCGATATGTCGATATGTTTTCCTGTTTTTTTCCATCTTCAAGAAAAAACATATACCGTCACCAACTTGATAAACATATTTGAAAAGACACACATCTGGTATCATCTGGTCAACAACAATCCATAATTCCATTCTTCATGATATCAATTGGGATTGTACAATAGTTACAGCCATATTAGTTTTGGTAATTTTGATCTTACTGGGAGGGTGCAGTTGGGATGGGCTGTCTCGCCTCCTGGGCCACTTTGGTCACCCCAGCGCGGCCACCTGACATTCGTCCCCACGGTGGATTCTACAGGAAACCATAGGAAATTCCAAAAAAATGCCCAAACGTGGTTCAAATGAATGGTATGTTAATGATGTTTATATGTTTACTATTATGTTTACCCCCTATTTTTTAGGTTACTTTTCGACCGTTTTGCGAGGCACATTTCACAGGAAACCGTATATGAAACCAACAGATTCGTTATGAAACGACCAGATTCGTGGGAAAACGTGGTCTCCATGTCTCCTGTAGACTTTTTTTGTGCTGAGATGAACCCACTGAAAACCATCATTCCTCCATCATCTACAAATCGTAATCTTACTCTGAGAAGCATGGTTTGTCTGTTTAACTAGTTGAAATGAAACTGTTTTACAGTTTTACACAAGTTTTCACATTTCAGCATGAAACAAACAAACAACTGATACAAACAAGATCAAACAAGTCCGTGTTGTTTTGCCAAGAAAATGCATTGTTGTTACTGGATTCGCATGTTCAGTATGCGATATGACAAGCACAGAAATGTCTTAGCCGGGACTGCCTGTCTCCACGGCTGAGTGTCGTTTCATCGAGTTGATCACGGAGCTCTTGCCGGTGTTTGGATAGCCCACGACGCCAACGGAAATGTGCCCCTGGCGGCGGTTCCATGGTCAGCAGGATATCAGGATTCAGATGGATTCAAGATATCTCTGGGGAATCCCCATGAATCCCCTAGGAGTATCACAAAAATATACCAAAACATATTTAAACATAGTTAAACAATGTTAAACATATATGCCACGCACCAGTCAGAAATCGTCCAAGGTCCAAACAACTTCACTATTCAAGACCACTCCCTGCTTTGTCCTACAAGACTAGTCGACTTCTCACAGACAGAACCAAATACGTCTCTTGGTCGCTTCCATTGCAAATTACACCGCAACATGATGACTGATATCAGCCAATTTGATCCTTGTGCAACCAAGAACTGTGCTGTCTCTTGATGGTTTTTGCCAGCTGTAGAGGACCAATGCCCACAACAGGTAGGGAGATTTCAGCCTTCATCTGGGTACCATGTTGTCTCGAGTAGTTCTTCAGCAGCTGCATCAAATCTTCTGCACCAACCTCAGTGGCGCCTAGCAACTTGGATGGTGTCGCTTTTAGAGTTTTCTGTTTGAATGGTGATGCCCACGGAAATCAATGCACTCAAAGTTCACAAACACATATAATTACTTATAATCGACATTATATTCAATAAAGACCATACGATATTGTAATTTCATGTAATTTCTTGTAATTAGTTACAGAATGTATTGTGTATGTACATTGATGGCGTTTGAAACGAAAGAACCCATGGGGGCAACTCACCCAAAATGTCAAGGCTCCACTGCATGAGTGCTGCGCAGCAAACCATCTGACCTCAAACTGCTGTATAGCGCATGGCCATGACACTCTTACGAGCGAAGGGTTTAAGTCACATCAGTTGGGCAGAAGTCACATCAACCCCATGTAACAGCGAGTTGGAAGAAAGTCACATCAACTGGGCAAAAGTCACATCAAAATATCAAAATCCCAATGGCACACCGGCTTTCAAGGAATGCTGTTATATCTCCAAAAATGAAGAAAACATTGCGCACACTGAGGTATTCACATATGTTTAAACTATGTTTTCAAAGGATATATTTAGGAATCACCATGGCACACGGCCTCCCAGATCTTTAACTTTGTTTCCTAACAAACATAGATTTCCATGTAATAGCTATGGGCAACATGATCATATCAACAACGTTAAAATCTGAAAACCCAGTGGCACACCGCTGTCAACATCCGCTTCCGCTTGAATGTTTCATAAGTTCTGCCTTCTGTAAACATTCCCTCTCGCTGCTGGCGTCTCCCGCCCGTATCTCCCGCCAGCGCCAAACAAGGCGACCGAGACTGTAATTTTCTTTTTCGGCGAAATGTTTGCACCAGCGGCAGCAGCAGCAGGAGAAAGCAGCAGCAGCAGCAGGCGGAAGCAGCAGCAGCAGCAGCAGCAGGAGGCAGCAGGAGGCAGCAGCAGGAGGCAGCAGCAGGAGGCAGCAGCAACAGCAGCAGCAACAGCAGCAGCAACAGCAGCAGCAGCAGGAGGCAGCAGCAAGGAGCAGCAAGCAAGCAGCAAGCAAGCAGAAAGCAAGCAGAAAGCAGCAACCAGCGTTTGCCCCGTTGAAAGAATAATGAAATATAATATAAGTTTTATAAATCAACGCAATACAAAAATTGAACTTTTTCTAGGCGCACGGCCCCAAAACAATGAAATCGTCCAATTACTAAAAGTTGTGGTGATGCCAAACTTGAACTTTTTCCAGGCGCACGGCCTCCCGATACAACTTCTACGAGCTGATACGACTTAACGCTAGGGCTAGTAGGGTCAAATAGAATCATGTCAACAAAACATTGCGCACAGCGATGAAAAAGTGTTCGAATCAATAACCCATCAAAGAAAGAACTATCAAAATCTATACGAAACACTGCGCGCACGCAGGTGTGATACGACTTCAGGTCGATTGATACGACTTAAGCCTAGTGGTAGTAGCATGAACACTTGTGCCAAAAATAAACTAAAATTGACATACAGAAAATCAATTTCTATGAAGGCAGGCTGCATGACGGAAGACCAGCCCTTCCAAAGGATGTGCTTGGCATCTGGGTTTGACTAAACATGGCCCCAATTCCAATCCAAATTAGAAATTAATTTGCCCCAGGAACATATCGCTATTTTGGGCTGAATGATTTTTTGGAGATCCAAACCCATAGCGTTGCCTCTATGTTAGATCACAATGATATCCGCTACAGTATCCTTGCCATGATTGGTCGTGTCCCGACTCTTATTCCATTTTGTCAATTCCCCCAATGCATTAGAAAATCACTGGTGAAGCAGGATGACTTTGATATCACTACCGGTAAGATAGATATTTTATGAAAATCCGTGGGTTTCCCGACGCACCACTGGCACTGGTCATGGCGTGGGTTGCCCTGGACGTCTGCTGTGACCACTGGGATTGTACTCATCAGCTCTAAACAGCTTTTTTATATATATACATAATCACATACATAATTGTCAACGTATATCTATGACATAGTTAATTTGTACATATATATGTATATATAATATATAGTATATATCATCAAAATAATATATATATGTATATATATATTCGATTCGGATTGAAACTATATATATATATATTATATTACCCAAAATTACATTGTATTATATTATAACATAAAATTGTATAAACTATATATGTATATGTATTAGCTTATGTATATCGTATGTGCTAAAACTGCTCATTTTCATTGTACTTATAAATAACATACACAGCTGACACTCACCAGAATTTTCTGTCACGTCCTGCCCTCCCCCCCACACAGCTGACACATGCTGAAACCCATAAAGGGTTTGAACTATCTAGCACATGGAGTACTGAAGTTGTACTGGGCAAAGGCATGCAAATGCCAGTGATTCTGTACCAAAAGCTGTGTTGTATCTTTTGACGAGATTGCGCATCTTTGTGAATAGTTTCATCATCAACGTGTTGAGGCAGTGACAACAAAGGTAAAACAACTGGCACCATGACCAATAGTGGCTGGTACTGTTCCCACTGCATCACTGCATGCTGAAGTGTCAAATGGTCGCCCAAATGGCAGTTCATCTTACCAACAATCATCAGCTCACATCAGCGCACTAGGTCCTTTTGCACGCTGGGAATCTGGGGAAGAACAAAATGGAAGTTGGCTCGGAACATCTCCGAACCCCATGGCCCAATTCCATCCCACGGTCAAACCGTCCCGTTTTCGATGGCCATTTCGAATGGGTCCCCATTCGACCCACATCTCGCCCCGAGGGTAGGCCTTTGGGCCCCACCATGGCATGCTTTGAAGGCGATGGCAGGATGGGAACGTTGCCTCGATGTGGTGGGGATGGGGTCCAACATTGGAAGGCCTCAATTTTGGCATAGAACTCACCAATGATAAACCACATTAAACCACTGGATTTGAGGGTACCCATGGGTACCCTATTTTCAAACCAACATTGAATTCTAGGGCGGTTCAACAAGCCCCTGTTCATCCACACCGGTCAAAGTCACCGTCCCTCATGTCTCTCATAGCCCAAAAATTCACCACTCATGGGGGGCCGTTCATTAAAACCCCTTTTTAAGATATGAAAACCAAAGGAGATACCCATGACCACTTATAGTGGATTTTCCCATTAATCATAGTGATTTTCCATAGCTATGTTAAATTACCAGAGGGTAGTTGGGATGTTGATCATCTTCGATCCCCATTGGTGCAGCAACTCCTCTTGGCGAACCAGGGGTCCATGGGTCAAGCGGCAAATGCTTGATCCACGCTTCCACCGCCTCCCGAGGGACCAGGTCGATCCTTGGAAGCGAGGTCTTGAAACAACATGGAACAACAAAGAATATAGGATAGTAATGCATAGTATAAGAGTCTTCCAACCAACTCATGACAACTTCATCTTTCAAAGAAACGTGCCAAATTCATGGCAGATCAGCTTTGAAAACCTCTGAATGATTTTTTTCCCCTCTGATTTTCGCATCCTTTGAACCTCCGAAACTTGCTTGGCTGCCAGGTTGCTTGTTTACCAGGAGGATCAAGCGCTTTCCAGAGTTGGTTACCTGCCAGAACAGAGCAAATCACGCCCCAAGCAGCCTCCGCTCATATCTTGGGGCATTATAAAGTGCTGGGGTGGCAAACAAACATCATGCTATCAGCAGAAAAATGACTTCACAATGATTCACAATGCATTTGTTTATAAGGATTTACATGTTTTCACATTTCTTGATGGCTACTCATTGAATTTCAATGGTTTCGATCGTTTTTTTCTGGCGTTGGATCAAAAGCTGCCCAGCTGTCCGCATCAAAATAGCTTCTTCATCCCCCCTTCATCCCCCCAGTCTTATGGTATTATAATATATAGTAATTTAACAATACAATATAGACTTCCAGAATCTTCCAGACATATTTATACATCGATATAATTTTACAAAGGTTAAAAAATAATATAATATATGCTTCCAAACACATGTCATGTATAGGTACTTATATATGCACATAGGTTGTGATTCATGATCCAACCGTAATCCCACATTAGACCATCTAAAACCATCGGCCGGCTAAATTATCCCTATTTTGGCTATGGTATAGAAAAACGATTGGCAAACAGATAGAAAAATCATGAAAAATCCTACTTTGTAAAACTGTGATGATGGACTTTTCATGACTGTTCTATCTTTTTGGGGGTTGCTATAGACTGAAAACCCGTTAAATCACGTGTAAATCCAGTGTTTTCCCCATCGAACCCCTGTTGATCTGCCTCCCGCTCTAGAGCTGGTGAACGACAGGCCCCTGGGTCACGCGCATCCAAGACCTGCTTCAGGGAGCGAGAAATCCACATTTTTATTGGTGGCTTTTGGCTATTTCCAACCCATCTCTGCGTGGTCAAACATCTGTTGCAGTTTCTGACCTGTTCTTTGGCTGGATTCTGACATTTTACGGCATAGAAGCCATCCTTCTTCTGTGATAGATAATTCATTCAGTGCAAAATTTAGTACCCAGTTGTCATCCTGGGGGAAGAACATCCGGTTCCCATTTACACGCCATATTTATGAGTGTTTATGTTGACTTGTGTTGCCAGTGTCTTGGAACATCCCCACGGTTCTTGATGTGTTCCAGTGTTACAGTTTTCTTAATTTCCCTAGGCCCTTCTGCGATGTCCCAATATATCAAACACAAGCCGAAGAAATAAGATGAAACAAGTAAACCTAAGAAATTAGATGCAAAAATAAATCTTAATATAAGGTTTCCCTTGCTAAACATCATATCAAAGGTGAGGTCAATGAGGTCGTTACTGCTGTATCTATCATCCCGGAGCCGCCTCTACGATCACATCAGCAGAGCGGAGGACCTTTCATGTCATGGGATATAGAAGCAAACATGGATGGACTATTAAATGATGGATGGGTATGTATGTATTGTAAGTATACACTCACAATGATGAGAATCAGTGGGTTGACATGGCTTGATTTCACCACATCTACATCCTACAAGAGTAACATCTTTGTGCCAAGGAGAAAGCATGACCATGACCACTTTCAAAGTTTTATTTGGTTCTTTTCGTGGAAAAGTGGTTCCTTTCTGAAATGGAATGATTTACTCGATTTCAGAATGGATCTGCGTCCAGTCAATCAATTCAACTATGTACCCAATGTTTGAGCCATGGACTGGGAGCAAAGAGCCTCTCTCTAAACATCTAGAAACGCACGCAAAGACATGCAGCATATATGGCATATACTGATCCATACTGTATGAGTGTACATATTCCATATTATGCCACCTTTGGGAGATTATGTACCCCCTCCGGCAGAATCGCAAGCATGATTAATCTCCTTCTACTGCTGAATGGACAAAGGTTTCCCAACTTGGATAGTAGTGAACTTATGCATGAGATACCCCGCATGTTTGATTATCGTTGTTCGGTTCAAATCATGTTAGTTCCTCAAACCATCGTTAAACCAGCTATAAATAATACGCTGCATTCTTGATCTGGTTGCTGCTTTCAACCCATCCAAGAAAAATGAATTCACAACTCACTAATCCCAGGTCAGATTGAAGTCAATGATGTTCATCCGTTCATCCCCCTATATATTCATGGTATTTCATGAATTTCCCTGCAATTTCATAAGTATTTCAACTTTCATAGGTATTGATCCATCCCCATATTTGACTTCAGCCACCAGTGATGCGAATCTGCCGAACCCGCACCTTCCGAAGCTCGGCGTAGAACTTTCTGCGCCTTTCTGCGTCAGCGAATGGAAAGTGATGGAAACATTATGAGGGGTAAGCTACAAAAATGTTTGATGGTGTCTTAATGGTTTTTGATACACCGAACCGTTAAAGTCGACCAATTTAACAGAATTGTGTCAAATCTCATTGGGACGCCGTTGGATCAGGAAGTCAAATAAGTTGACCAAAAGCAAGGTATAGACACAACCTAAATACGAAGTCACACAAAGTCGCTGGCAATGCAAAACCCACGATAAAGTCAAAAAACTGAAAAACTAACTTGCTAGACACAAACTGGACGCGACATTGGTCAACTTTAGAAGTTGCGTGCGCGCAGCTGGGACACTCATTTCATTGAAATCGTTCAACTTTAACAACTCAGTTTATGTGCTTAATGGTTTTTTCCGTTTTTTTTTTAACCAATCATAGGATCCTAAGATGGTAAGTTATGGAAACTGATGGACACAAAAGAAAACTGAATACGTGTGTTTGCACAAAATCTGTAGAAAAAACAAAACAGCAACTTGCACAGGTTTCATTTGCTCCTGGAATCCCAACATCATTATAGGAGCTTCCTGGCAAGATTCTAGTCAAGAGATGTCAAGAGAATGTCAACTCACCCAAGCCAACCAAATATGATAATTATACACTTTGTAAACCCAAAACCATCAATCCCCGATGATCTACTAGAAATGAGTGAGATTGGTGGGATTAAAACTGCAGAATGCATTCCATTTTGACCATACCTGTCAGGCATTTTGACTTGCTGCAGATTTCACATTTGCCGATTTTCTGTAGCTGCTTTTTCTAACTCAAGCCGAGCACAACCCCGAGAAGGAAAAGTTGCAAGGTGCGAGGGAAACGGAAACAGAGGAGACCTGCGCAAAGCAGGTTATGAGCCCAAGGGCGAACCATGCAAGTTCAGATGAAGAAAAGCGACTCCGAAAGAGATGCAACAAGGTCAAGAAGAGATGAGGTTAGCACAAGAAAGGTTTGAGAAAGAGGCGAATGAAGGAGGTGAACTGCCCTTAGAAGATGTTCAAGGTGATGGAAAGGTAGAGGAAGTAGAGAAGGTGAAGCTGGAAGGTGCCCCAAAAAGTCTCCCAACAAAAGAAAGAGATGAGGAAGGTAAGACCAGTCCTTTGCCACCACGAACTTCCCCTGCCGCCATCACACCCGCCGAGCCAGGGTCAGCATCCTCTCTCGCTGCTCAGCCTAGGAGCGCGAATCCTCAGAAAGAACGAAGTGAGTCAGCATCCTCTCTCGCTGCTCAGCCTAGGAGCGCGAATCCTCAGAAAGAACGAAGTGAGTCAGCATCCTCTCTCGCTGCTCAGCCTAGGAGCGCGAATCCTCAGAAAGAACGAAGTGAGAAGTCTTCTGCTGGTCTTACCGCGATGGCAATGACACCTGGAGTAGTTGACATGAACAAGAAAGTGGAGGAGATGACCCCGCATCAAAACTCAGCCGGGGTTCCAAATCAGGGATCAGCCACTCCGGATGTCATGCACACACCTTTGTTCACCGAAGAGCAAGTTAGAGACATGGTCATGCTGCAGAGTAGGACACCATGGTTGTACGGAGATCAACCAGCCCGGTCCTTTTTTCCAGCTTTTAGGAGACCTTCGTTTTTGGAAGCCGAAGAAGCCAGAATGTCGGCTGAATCTCATGAGATGTCCACCATGAGGGCATATATGAAGGAATTGATAAATCAGAATGAGGAATTGAAACACAGGATTCATGCGTTGGAAACAGGGTTTGCTGTTCCCGAAGTTGATTTGTCTTTTTCCACGCCAAATGGAAGTGATGGTTCAAAGGAGGCTGCAAGACCCCCAGAAAGCGTTCTGAAGGAGGCTGCAAGACC